TTAGAAAAGAGCGTAGCTCTTGCGCAAGACGCCTTCTCTTACCACGCCGTATTGTTAATTTCCTTGCGCAAGAGTAGGTGGGCAGCGTGGAAGCTCTGTGGGTTCTTGAGCAAGAACGGCTGTACTTGTGCAAGAAGCTGCGAGTGTAGACATAGCCTTAGAGGGACCACTTCCCCCAGCCTCTCTGCCCCCGAGTTAATGTCTCACACATTGGGTTAATGCAATTGCAGGATGGTTGCATGGGGGACCAAACTAATCCCTGTTGGTAGGAGGATGGTGGAAAAAGCCCTTTGAGAGGGGTGACATGACTCCTTTTACTTCTGGTCATGTGTCCATCTTGCCCCAAGTGTGTTACCTCCAGAGGCCTGGCTAACAGGGATCAGGGGGTGTGGCTAAGGGGGCACCACCAAAAATTATACAAACCTGCCGTCCCTGGCTGCAGTTGGTATTTATCTGTGTCTAGAAACTGTTCACGGTGTTCAGGAAAAGGAACTATAGAGCACACAAAAAAGCTCATTTTTACATGTTTGCATCTCTGGTGTTTTTTTAGCTATTTTCATCCTAGAAACAATGACAGTGCCCAATCCTGAGCAAGGAATAGCCACCCGGAACTATTACCACCTGCTTATTATTTCCTTCTGTATAGTGGGAATGGTTGTGTAGTGTGTGTGCACGCGCACACGTGTATAGATGGATATTCACCAAGCTATGTTCCGTTTTTCACTAGTGTGGAAATACAGTACTCTATAAATCGTGTGTACACTTTACTAAGCATGAGTTCTGAAAAGCCTACACTCCTATTCAGTGGGACCAAAATTCTTGTTATAAAAAAACAAATAAATATACAGGTAGATACTGCCCTACATGTAGCACACAGCATAAAACTGCAGGCCAAGGGAAAGCAAAGAATAAGGATGCTGCTGATACACTGTACTGTGCATATTGCACTGATGCCAGGGTTACCTTGACTGACTCATGGCAAAGTTGTACATTAGAAATTGAAATTCCGCCTCCACCAAATAATCTCAACATATTCTCACCCTTCCCTGGACCACCTTCTTTCCCTCAGAAATAGACACGTACGTTTGTTCACATTCATAGCTTGCATCAGCACAGTGCAAACTGTTCATTGACTCAGACTCTTTATATTTTTAATGGGAAAGCTTTTCAGATTTGTTAATACCATCATGAAATTAACATCCAGCTTAACCCATAGCAGTTTAAAAGCTATTCCCCATCTGCAATGTGGGGGGGGGGGATGATTTTTGGTATTGTGTGGTAATTTTGAAATGATTGTAACATATTAACATGTCAGCATCATTATCCACAAGACTAACTAGGCAATAAAGCAACAATAGTGAAATAAGAAATAAACCTGAAGCAAAGTACAAAAAAGGGCTTTATCCTGAGAACATCCACAACTCACATTGACTGCTGTGGGAGCACAGTGCCATTCGGAGTCACACCTGTATGAAACTGAGAAGGGTCTGGAATTTGTTAAATATTCATCTCCCTTAAAAGGCTGCCCTTTGCATTAGTTAAAGCTGACCATGCCCTTTTTCCCCTTCCTTCAGAACGCTTGTGCACAAGCAGGCAACTGAGCTAAAAGCTCCCATTAAAGGCCCTGCAGATTTGTATAGCATTAGAAATCCGTGTGCCCCATAAACATTATCAGGAAGCAGAGAGAAGCAAACAGACCAATGACTTTCTCATGCAGGAGGAGCACAAATTGTTCTGGCCATCTCAAATAACATGTAAAAAACTATCATCCTTCATAAGCTAGGACATAACTGTGTCCCTGTGTTCCTCAGGCAAGTTACCTTGGGTAATGGGAAGGGTTAATAGTCTCAAATATTATATCACTGAGCGCTGCAGATATTCTGCAAGGAGTGAGTCAGTCTGCTTAGCAAAAGTGAATCCTGCTCCATTTCCCTCTGGTCACTAACCACTTCCTCCTTTTATTCTGCTATTATACCCCACCCAGACTTCCTGTGACTTATTTTTTGAGTCTAAGTTGGATGCCCTGTGTTAATATTTAATACTGCTTATTTTAAACACATTTAGTAATGTCCCTAGAGTCTGGGATGGACACGGTGGGCTAACAGATAAATAACTCTTCTAAATTGTGCCATAGTTTTAAGAAGACTCAGCTTCTGAATTACTCCTGAGTCTTAGATCTTTGTTCTTTTTTTACTACAGAGACGTATTTGGCTGAGCAACTGCTGACTAAAAGAAACTGAGCAACAACATGACAAATAGCTATAACACTGAGAAAACTAACATGAACTAAATGAAGTGAAAATACTAGAAATGGCAGCATAAACTTAGATTCCTTAACAACAAGTACCCTATAAATATCTAGACAGAAATAACTGCATAGATACATGCTTTGATTGGATTATGGTTACAATTTATTCTTTAACAAACAAGTCCACAACATATAGACAGGGCGTATTAGAATATATAGAAAGATACAGTGCCTGCCCTTAAGAACTTACATTCTAAATTTTAACTATGACCCAATAAGGTGGGGTGTCGAGCAGTTGGGATTATCTTCCCACAAGTACCTTCAAATTGTTTAGCCCAAGGAAGAATGGCACAGGATTGTAATGTCATTATTCCCCGAAATAACATCTAACACTGCAGACAGTAAAATTCATTTCTTTGACTTGGCTTTCCCCCAACATAATCTCATTTATTTGTGCCTGTATCATAGACTGTCATATTTATTTTTAAATACTAAGGAATTGCTCATCTATTATGGTGATGAGCCATATCACATTTCCAGCAAGGCAGTTCAAGCTTGCCAATAATCTCATTGAGGTCAACTAATTAAGTATGTGATTAAATGTCTTGCAGAATCAGGATCCATATAGGTTGGTACATGAGTGAGGGAAAGGTAGTATCCTTGAGTACAAATGCTGGATTGGGAGAAAAACAACTCTTCTACTGACATCCACTGACCTCTCTGTGTCTTATCCCCATTTTACAAAGGAGGAAACTAATAGCAATACCTGCAAGAATGCTGTGATGCTGCATTAATTCACGTGTAAATAGTAAAATGCTTTGAAATTTTCAGAAGGAAAGTGTTATAGGCACATTAACTAAAAGCAGCAGTGCAGCCTTGGTGCACTTAAGTGAATCAAAAGGTATCAAAATACTTGATTTGCAGGTTTCACGACATGGAGAAATACCTAAATCTGTGCCTGTTGCAACAAATTTACAGAGTGGGAACTTGCTTGCAGCATGAAAAATCTCATAAAATGCCAGCTACCCTGAGTGTCCTATTCAAAGAGGCATGCAAACAAATGAGTTCTATAGTCAGTATTGCAAATACAAATACTTTTTTAAATTTAACTCATTTCTTTAAGGGAACCAAAGCCATTCTTCAGAGGTTATAAAATCATTTCAGTTTCAGTGAGTTGTGTTTATTATAATAACACTCTATCTCTTTCTGTCAGGTTGAGGATCAATTTCAGACTATCTCTGCATGTAGACATCCATTGTTGATATTCAGTCACCATTAGCATTATATTTATTAATGTCGTATGTATCTATTTCTAAAACACCTAGTGGCAGATCCTCAGATGGCATAAATTGTAATACAGGTGGAACCTCCCAAATCCAGGTGTGTCTGGTCCAGTGACATCCATGGTCCACAGATGTTACTGAACCAAATAGCCCCAGAGATGGGAGCAATGCAGGAGCTGAGGAGCCCCAGCTGGGTCAGGCGACATCTGGGGAGCCCTGCCCTGGCCAGAGAACTCCTAGCGTTAACAGGGCCAGGTTACCGAGGAGTGCTGGCCTCAGCCAGGGAACCGACGGTTGCAGTGGAGCTGCTGGCAGCCTGGGCATCCCGCTGGCAGCAGGGCTGTGGTGACCGGGGAGCCTCTGCTAGGGAACACCCCCTCCCTCAACCCCAGAAGCGGGGCCAAGTGGAGGCGGGTGGCCAGAATCCCCACTGGCAGCCCTAGCAGTGGGATGGGGAGGCCAGAACTCCCGGCAACGGCTGGATGGCTGCGGCCGAGAACCTCAGGCTGGCATCAGTTATGGGGAGCTGTGCCAGTCCAGTATGAGGGGGGACAGCGGCAAGACAGGGATCCCCAAAGAGAGGAGTCTGGAAGCAGGGAAGCACTGACCTCCCCTGATCAGGCAAATTCCCTGTTCCAGGATAGCTCAGGTCTCAAGGGTGCTGGACCAGGGAGGTCCAACTTGTAGCACCAATGAAATTAAGTCATTGAAGTCAATGGAACTACAGCAATTTACACCATGTGAGAATCTACCCTATAAAGTATGTTCAGCATCCTGGAAAATAACCAGGGAAGATGATATGATCTCTCTAGCAAATTGCTTACAATCTAAAAACTCATTACTCCCAATGGACAGGCCTCTGCATTCACATGGAGATCACTGCAGGACTGCAGCCTAAATAGGATCAACAGTCAACACGAACCAACACCCCACTTTATTTCTGCAGTAGTAACTTTTAGTAACCTCTGCTTTCCTCCTTCCTCTATTTCACCTCCCATGTCAACTCTCTGATCACTTTCATATGACAACTCACATTCTAGCCTTCTCTGCTACGCACATAACTACCTAATAGAAAGTGACAGTTGGGAGAAGAAAAGTCAATATAGCAAAAAGCAGAAGTCTCACCCACATCTTATTCTTGTCCAGATCCAAGATGTGAATGGAGCTCAGGAGTCACACTGACAGTTCTGCTGAAGTGGGGGCTCCTTCTGCTTGTGAGGGAACAATTGGTATGATCTGAACAGGAGCTTCCTGTCCAAAAGAGATTATTTGCAAACAGAGTAGTTTGACTGTTGCAGCTACATGGGGCTGTCTGGTCCTCATTTTAAGATGAGGATATCAGAGAATCAATCTGTTAATGTGGCTCCTTTTGACATTTTCAAAAATAACAGTCCTCCTCTGGGATTCGATTAAGGTCTAGTTCGTAGTTCAGAAGGAAACAACTACAAGAGTGGCCTTTCTTATTACAGGCAATGTTGGGACGAGGGAATGGAGAATCAGCAAGAAAGAAAGAGGAAGAGGAAGTTCACAGCAGGCACAGACTGATCCCTTTTGGAAGGAAGATCTATGAGTTCTACAATGCTCCTATAGTTAAGTTTTGGTTCTACACGGTAAGCTATCTTCTCCATGCTACTAGCACTTGTAAAGAAGTCAGTGTCACTCTGTTGTCAACTGTGTATCTGTTTGTATTGGCACAAATTTTCAGAGAACCTCCACTGATATATTCACAATGGGGAATATATTTGGGGAAGCAGACCAGCATTTGCAAGTCCAGCCACTGTATTTGTAGATACAAAATGCTGATTTATATGGACAAATGGGTGAGACTATATATATATCTTAGAGCTGGAAGAGACCTTGAGAGGTCTTTACGTCCAGTCCCTCGCCCTCATGGCAGGACCAAGTACCATCCTTGACAGATTTGCCCCGGATCCCTAAATGGCCCCATCAAGGACTCTGGAGGCCAGTATTCAAACCACTGAGCTATCCCTCCCCTTAACTGTAAATGTTGTAGATCAGGGGTGGGGAACTTTTTAAGGTTGGGGGCTGCCCACTCTCAGAAAAATCAGTCAGGGGCTGCATACAAGTGAGAAGCATAAAATAAAACAAAACCCTCACTGATGTGGCATCTGAGAAAGAGAAAGATGCTCCCCACATCCACCCCTCACACACCAGAGCCTGGGGGGCCCAGCATAGTAGATTTTGTGTGCTTCAGCCTCATGATGGAGTAGTGGGGGATTGGAGCTCCCAAAGGCTGGGTGTGGAGGGACATGAGCCTCAGGAATGTGGGGGGACATGAGCCTCATTCCAGCAAGTCAGGGACCGCATCTGGCTCCTGGACCTGTGGTTCCCCACCCCTGATGTAGACAAATATTTGGATACATCTGTGTCTAAGTACTACAGTGATAGAGCCAAATTCTAAAGTCCACCATCAGGCTGTTCTCCCACTGAATTTGTTCCTGGGCTCAGTGGATGCTTAGTATGAGAATTGTAATTAAGTAAATTAGGTTTCAACAACAACCGCAATATACTTTATTAGATTTTTTTTTTTAAGTTTCCCCAAGTTCTCAT